CCAACAACAGAATCGATCTCTTGCTGTGCCTTCCTCTGGACATCTGGGAATAGCAGCATAGCCAATACAAAACCACGAATGGACGAAACAGTCGTATCAGCGCCTCCAGCATACATGACAGCAGCGGTTTGCTTGATAGCGGCCTCAGTGTCTTCATCTAAATCGCCATCATTTTGCTTGATAAGCGAAGAGACATATGATGGTAGATAAGACTGCTTTGCGATTTGCTTTTTGACGAAGGCGTACGGCACGTCGACCACCATGCGCATATTGGCGTTCCAATCTTGTGCTATGCGCTTGAAGGACATTCCTGGAAGTGTTTCTGGGAGATACCGAAGTATAGGTAGGACATCAACGGGCCAGCTCATGGGGACGAACGCGAGAGAGAAATTATGCATCATCTGCTCTATCAAGAGCGCTAGTGGATCCTGCTTTTCCGCCTCGAGGTTGTAACCATATGTCATCTTTAGTATTATAGCACTTGCTTCGCTAGAACAGGGGAGTCAGAAAGATACTTTTGGTAGGAAATTACGGGGGCTCACGTCTTGATATGCATCGATAGCTTCTCAGGGCTGTTCAAGATTCTGAGCAGAAGCCGGCGTGACTCGACGTCTTGAACGTCCCGAAATCGTGATGCAGCTGTTTTAGTACCAAGCTGTTGATGAACCAATTTTCGATGTTGTTTCAACGATTTTCCGTATGGCTTGAAGCTGAGAATCTGATTATACCCGCACATTTCGTTGCCAAAGATGAACTGTGGCCGTGAAGATGTCTTGGTAGAGGTCTTCTCTAGGATAGCATTTGCAGCTTCACGGTCGTGGAGTATGATGAGGGACTGGCCAAGGATAGAGACATGGCTAATTGGGCCGTACAAGTCTTTGAAATTGATCCAGTGTTGGTATTCCGGTGCTGTCCCATCTGGCATGTCTCGGATGTTGCCAAGAATGGGGAGGGGCTTGGGGCCAGGAGGGAGATTCTTGCGAGGCTTGGTGCGCAGGTAGAGTATGGTGAGGGCAATACCCACAAGAATTAGGACTGCTGATAGCATGGCGAAATCTTTTGTCCTAGCTAACGTACTTAAATTGAATGATGTGTTCCAGTCAATGAATGGGTAGGTATTACTTTAATGTCCCTCGACCATCAGAGCGAATCCGTAGGTAGATATATAGGTGTGCCTCTGGGCCAAGAGCAACTATATGTCACGTTGCTTCAAAACACATTATGCCAAACCTCACGTGTACCAGACCACGACAAGGCCATGTCCTCGTCATATCTCTGCATGAGGCTTGGGAGGGTATTAGCCACGCCTTGATCTTCCTTCGCATACCCAATAAGTTAAGTCATGCATCCGATAGAGGGTCACAATCTTACTCAATTCCGAGGCTTGCTGCGTCATGTACCGGCTATAGCCCATAGGTTACAAGGGCTAGCCAAAGAAGATGCGGAGACAAGAGAGTACTATCTTCGTCAACGCTAGCAGGTATTGGTTGCAGGCTGCCAGCCACCTGTCGTAATGGGCATTACCATGCGGCAATAATGCGACTTGTGAGAGTAAGAGCCGGTCATGCTCCTGAACACGAGTGGATGGATGCAGGAAACATGTTTCCGCGGTTTATCATGCATATATATCACAAACTTGAACAAATTGGCTCGGCTTGTGACCAACCAAAGTCTTGCTGAGTATCATACGATCTGCAGATACCCAAATGGTGCAGTACCCGTTCTGTATGTGTTGGACACTGAGGAGACACTGTGGGAAGTAATTGGAGACGCAAAGCTGCGGCTTATCAACATTGGTCTCAGAAAAGCTCTATAAGGCCTTTCGGCCTTCCAGATTATCATGAGAGCTAGCGGTCCCTTCGTGTTCCTGACCGTACTGTATGAACCTTATTCTCCTTCTCCCTTCATAAGCTCATCTTATTTGAGGTGTTTGTAATACATGCCGGTTGTTTCCATGATAGATACGGATTCCTGACGGCTCGGGCCGCTGGACTCTTTCTCCGGTGACCCGAATATGTGATAGCCGCGTCCTGTGCCACTTATGTGCATCTTTCTACATATATCACTTACCCAATAACACCTTCCTAATATATCGACGCGCTCGACGTAACCCCTCTTCCGTTTCTACCACCGGGAAATAGTTTTCACTATCGAATGGAGTGTTCAGGACGCTGTATTCTATTGTTGTTGCATGTGAAGGCGGGTGGCCATAATGGGGCTTATATGATGTCAGCACTTCTACCGTTACACGTCACACACTACCTACAAGCTAGAGTGATAGGAAACCATGGTTACGATTCGTAATCAGTAGGTATGGTCCAGTGTAGTCACTATCTAGTTCAATCATCTAAGTAGGAATATTAGCCGTTGCCAAGGCGGCTGCTTTCTTATTCACCCGGGCCTTTGAGTCACTTTTCCACGTAACAGACATATCTTTGAAATGGTCTTGGGCAAGAACAACTGTATTTCTGTTCGATGCTTATCCTGCTCTCTAAATAGACGCAGATAGTACAGATAGTCCTCGCTAGAGAATAGTTTCACTCCTGCCCTGACATCCGAAAATTTCATATATATTGAGATTCATCACTAAGGTGTTAATTATATACCGATTGTTCCGTAAGCATTTGATGCGGTAGTATAATATAAGAGTTAATAGCAGGGTCTATAATTCATAAAGTACATTTCTATAACTTAATTAATAACCTAAGGCCTCAATGCATGACACTTTGACATAGGAGGTATAAGGAACGAAAACAAGAAGCTTAACATGAATTGCACTATCAAGGCTTTGAGGCCGAAATTTGGATTGTGGCATTAAGGAGCTAAAATGACCAAATAATCCGTTGTGTTTCTTGTCGTTCATATCTCAAGTTGCAAAGGAATAGACCCGGAAACACCGCAATTACAACAGGCACTGTAATAAGACCGGTTCATCCTTTACTTAAATTTATTAAATATCCTTACCATTGTTCAAAGCCTTACATGCTCACGAACATTCATTCCACCGCATCCATATTCATCTTGGCTACCCTAGGCCTTATCAAGACTCGTCCGCTCTAAAGCCGAACCAATCCTTCAGCACTTAAACGCGAAACCCCGCTCAGTCAACCAACCATGACTCGCAATGATATCAGGCACTAATCTCAAACAAGCAACTAGATTGCCCATTCTCAAGCGGGGCTTGAATTGCGGAGGCTTGGCCGGACATTCACCTTGTTCCCCGCGCAATCTCTCCCTTATCTGCCTCCAGATCGCTGGGCCCGTGACTTATTCCAGGCCTTGGCATATCTCAACAATGTTAATACCAACGACCAGTAAATCCCCAACTTTACCCTCCAAACATCAAACTCCAAACACAATCATCAATAATGCCAAAGACTCGCGTTCGCGTAGTAGAGGGCTCGTGCTGGCCCTGCAAGAAACGCAGAATCAAATGCGATCTCGCAAAACCAACTTGTTCGCGGTGCGCCAAAGTAGGCGCTGCATGCGATTATAACGAACGGCTCATTCGCTGGAGTACACGGCCTGCTGTCACAGTGCCGGCGATTTATCAGGTTACTACCCGCGATGAACAACTCGCCGCGTCATTGGCAGTGTATGAGAAACGCTCGCTGGATTACTTTCATGGACGGTTCTGGCCTTTGTTGACGACTGCCTCGAAGCCTTGTGCGCCGCCAACTTTTGTTGCGCTGCAGCATCGTGTTGTGTTGCTTGCGACGTGTGTTCTTGCTGATTCCCACCGATGGCTGCAGGATGGACGGAATAGTCGGAGTATTTTGAACGTTAAGAGGATGGAGTGTTTGGCTGCGCTGAGAGAAGAGGTTGATGGATGTTGCTCGAAAGAAGACGGGCCTTTGCAGACATTGCTATTTGCGGTGCTATTGCTCTACTTCCACGATGGGTTTCTCGAATGTGCACAGTCATCTGCATCGACGTCAAGTCACAGAGATGGAGTCTTGGCCATCATCAATCAACTCGGCGGCATGACCGCTGTGCTAGGCACAGGCCAGGATCCGCTTCACATGATGCTATCGGAGTTTGCGACGACAGATCTAACAAGCGCTATGCTTACGGGCAAACCCCCTTCATTTCCACCGGCCATTTGGGAGGTCGTTGACCGCGGACCTGTCTGGTGGGGACGAGATACACAGGGTTATTGCTCGCTATCGACGGTCTTTCAGCAAATTTCGAGTATGGCGTTCTATCTTGATGCGACGACACGCATGATTGAAGAGTTCTCGATCGAGAGAATACGAATCTTTGAAGCAGCTCTGAGACCGACGTATGCTTCATTGGCGATTGAGGATTTGACGTCGCCTCGTTCATCGCCCGTTGATACACCGTCAACCGAATGCGACACCGAATCAGCACAAGCATTTAGCCTCGTTAGGATTTTCCAGCACGCCGCACTGATTTATCTATACCGAGCTGTGTGCGGTCTACCTGCAAACCATGCTCTCGTCCAGCAACATACCCAATCGTGCCTCGACTGCATCTTCAGCATTCAAAAACCTTCCAAAATTCTCAACTGCGCTGTACTGCCCATCTGCATAGCAGGAGCACATTCGCAATGTCCCAAGCAACAGCGTCTTGTGCGAGGTCTTGCGGGATTTATTTATGATGAGATACGGTTTGCTTCAGTCCATTCTGTAATTGCGGTTTTGGAGGATATTTGGAAACGAGCGCCAGAGGAGGATATGACGTGGAATCAGATGTTTGCGAACCTGAATCCTCAGGCTATTATTCTATAAGCTGATTTGTATACTACTGGCGTTGGAGGTGGATTTCACATAGGAAATTTGGGTTCATGGGAATGGTCTTCATGGTCCTGATAATAAATATTGTTCAATCTGGATTAGAGATCCCGTTACCAGTACTGATTACCGTTCACAGTCTTTTGCCACCGTTAGTCGTCCTTTCATCCCCAGATAGTCGTAGCATGGCCCTTAGATGTCCATATCGATGTTTCCCTTGGCCAGGTCAATCCATAGCCTTCATACTCACTGATCCATACCTTGAGAACTCACATCAGCTTCACCCTCAACGCGTACAACCAACTTTCCTTTTGTCCGACCTTCTTTCAGTCTCGCATAAGCCCTTCCTGCATCCTCCAGCCCAAACTCCTCCTCAATAACAGCCCTCACCTTTCCCTCTCTCATCCAATCCGCAAACTGTCCAAAGTCTTTCCCGTTTGCGGTTACAGAGTGATACTTGAACTTCCTCTTCCCACCACCTAGCCATCTCGGTAACAGATTGATGGCAAGGAGGGATTTAAATGTTTGAAAGCGTGGTGGTAGACCTACGCAAACATACTGGCCTTCAGGTTTGAGATATTGATGGGACTGCCAGTAAAGATTCGGATCGTTGAAGATGGTGTCGAGAACTAAGTCAAACTTATCCTCCTTCTTCTTGAGAACTTCGATTGGGTCTTCAGACTTGTAGTCAATGGTCTCATCGGCACTAAGGCTTCGACAGAAGTCGGCATTGGAAGCGGAGCAAGTGACCGTGACATGAGAGCATCCCAATGCTTTGGCAACCTGCATTGCAAAAACACCAACACCTCCGCTACCACCATTTATGAGCACTCTATCACCCGCTTTAACAAACGGAGACATGCACTGCAACGCCGTTGTCCCGCAAATTCCAACGCAGGCTGCATCTCTAAGCTCAACACCATCCGGCAGACCCGCCATTCCCTTACTCCCAACAACAACATACTCGGCAAGAGTTCCCCCAATCGGTAACTCTGTCCTTCCAAATACCTTCTGTCCAGGCTGGAACCCAACCAGTGCCGTAGAGACAATCGTGCCGGAGAAGTCAAGGCCTGGCGTGGCAGGTTTAGAGAACATAAAGTTAGTGAGAGGCATCTCAGCGATTTTGTAATCGAGATGATTGACCGATGCGTATGCGACTTTGATGAGGGTTTGTCCTTTGGGAAGCGATGAAGCATTTTTGGGTAGTTTAGCATCAGCAACGAGAGTGAGATTCTTGTCGATGCCGCCTTTGATTGAGCGCCATTGGGCAGCGCGCATGGTAAGAGGGAGCGTGCTACTCGATGCCATAGCTGCAGTTTCTGAGACCGAATGTAAGTATATATGGTAACTATATACCACGACTCAAAATCACATCAGAGCTGTAACAGAGGTCTTATAGAGTTGCTGGTCTTTGCGGTTATGGCTGACGACAACGTGTTGGTGGCACATGATCAGGTGCTGTCGTCTTGGCTGAGGTGGTCTGATTGACAATCAACCAATTGAGACAAATATGTCAGATTCCGTGCCCTTAGGTGGTCGGTTAAGCTTGAACTATTGGCAGCTGCCATCCTTAATGTATGCTCATTTAAGGTATAGTGCGTGCTTTGATAGGTTTGGTCTCATGTTTTTCTGCCCGTGTCCAAGACAGTTGTGATTGACTGGGTGGATCGGACCCCGCGGCACCTCAAGGCCTGTGTATCCGTAGGCTGACGAGAGCGGGATGCATGGTGAAACTTATAGTCCGACGGTGCAATAATGCGTTTCTAGTCGCAAATGTTTTACAGGTCTTTGTGCTTTCACACTGTTGCCGTCGGGCGTGTTTGTAGAGTGAGTAGACCTGAATGCATGCTAATCGAATGGAGTCACTTATGCATGGGAAAGAAGATGAGAACCAATGGTCGTGTATTCATTGTAAAAGTTGAAGGAGAATGAAGTAAAGTCTATGTGAAACCATCTCCTCCAAGTGGGGACAGAGACGGTTTTGTTGGGAGTTGAAGACTATCCAGCTGCCTTTCAAGCCAGCTCCCAGAGCAAGTCATCATCCATCTAGGCAACAACTGCTAGTACCAGAAATCAATCTAGCTCTAAGGGTAGTGAGTGTACCCATCCTCACCAGGCTGGATAGTTCCATTGGTAATAGCTGCAGCATGGCCACGAGCCATGTAACCAGCAGCAGGATAGTACTGTCCAAGCCAAGGGTAGATCTCCTTGGCACCAGGCTTGTTCCTCCAGTCGCGCATCAGCTCACAGATGATGGAGAACAAGCTGACAACCTGAACGCCAGCATCGCGCATGCGATCGTTGGAAATGTCGCGGATGAGAGCAGTGGTAGTGCCAGATGCCTCCATGTTGGCCCAGACGGAGTAGCCGGCTTCACGGAGAGAGAGAGCGAGGAAGGTGGTGCAGACATCGGTGGTGATACCGGCGAGGATGACCTGGGACTTGTTGGTGGCCTTGAGGGCGTCACGGAATTCTTCGCTGTCCCAGGCGTTGACTTGGCCTTGGCGCTGGACCAGTGGGGCCTTGGGGTACATTTCGCGGATCTCTCGCATGAGAGGACCGTTGGGACCTGAGCTGTCAGTAAGAATGTCAGAGATGTATTCGAGTTGAGAACTTACCCTGATCAGCGGAGGTAGTCAGGATAACAGGCAAGTCGAAAGCCTGACCAATGGCAGCGTGGGCCATAGACTGGTGATGATACAGAGTAGGATCCCAATCTCTGGTCAACTGGTAAAGGCCTTCCTGGATATCGACCACGAGGAGAACCTGATTGTTTTAGCATACTGGAGAAGCAGAGAGCACTGGGAAACTTACGGCATCGTTCTTGTCAAGACGCTCATACTTGAAACCGCTCTTAGCAAGAGCAGAAACGGTGAGGACGCCAGCGGCGATGATGGAACTGAACTTCATTGTCGAAAGCCTTGGGTTGCAGGTTGGTACTGAAGCTGTGAGATGGCTGATGAACCTGAAGAACTTCCTCCAACTTGGGTTGGTACACAGCTATATATACTCAAGGACTCAACCTCGAATACTTCACATGCATGTTCTGAACACTGCATACTGCAATCTTTGCATGCTGTGTGATCCTGGAGTGAAAGGTCCTTGATCCCAATCTCAATCCATGCTCAAATGCACAGTCGGAAATGAAGTCCGCCTCAGTCGGCCGAAGCTATCCTCACGCATATTGGCTCAAGCCACCGCGACGCCACGAGGAGCTATACGAATATGCTTAAGGTCGGCCCGCTGCGAAGGTGTGCCGTAAGCCTTTGGCGCGGGTTTGTCATCATGCAGCGATTCCTCGTCCCCGCTTCGTGCAGGGTTTAGTAAGCTGTAGTCACCATCTTTCTCAGCAAACGCCCCATTTCGAATACCACGACGATGTCAAAAGATGGAGATCTACCGACAGTTAGTGTTTAGTCGGGAAGTTATTGACCGTTGAGTTGAGGTTATTTTTTGGTGGCTTGATGATGTTATCGTTGCGTGTCGGCACTGAAAGCTAACCCTGGTCTGAATCTTGTTGGAGCATGACAAGGATCCCGATGTCCCGATTGGCGGAGGGAAGCGATGGCACATTTCGAAGGCCTCGGTGAGAAAGTGCTCACTGACGCATGCTTTGATAATCTTTCCTGTCCAATACAAATTGCGGTTGAGATCAAGTTGCCCCTCTTCTGACTCTTTAGTGTAACGGTTTGGTGGGGAAAACATTGGCGTGGATGAGGACCCTTGGGCCCTACATATCGATAGAAGATGGTATTATGCATGTGTTATGCAGCACTCGGACCTTCCGGCCCAGGTTAACCAGGGAAATAAAGTCCTCCAGTGGAAGTCTTTTGTTGCGTGACAAATACCAAAGAGGGTTCACGTTGCATTGCCTTTCTGTGTAACCCGACGATATAGCGATAAGTCCCAGTGATTTGGAATGCTTAGATATGATAACTAAGCTGTTGGATAGGAGAGTTTGCTTCAGCATGTTGCTTGACTGTTCAAAACATCTATGCACATGGGTTGCCCAATTGTTGCTAACATTATTGATTGATAGGTCAAGCCCATGACATCTCAACGAGGTATATCATGATGGTCGTCTAGCCTTTTCAGTGTCCTAAATAAATTAGATAAAGAGAATACGTCCGTTATTTAATCGAAATGTATGCTCTACTTGGTCAACAGTAGGGTAGGAGATCGGCTCTAAAGAAGACCATTCCGTTATGAAAGTGACGTTGGTGTTGATAAGTGGGCCAGACTTGACTCAAATATTTGAAAAGGCTTGATCTATAGAGTGGCGAAATCTTGAGCCCTCAAGAGAGACTGCTATTATGCACGAGGCTTTCCTGTCTTGAGATTCAATTTTTACCTGAATGATAGTGTTGAAGTTTGGATCAGGCCCTGAGCAAATAGTCTCAACCTAGAGCTATTTATATGCTTAACTGTGAGAGAGGTCAAAAGTACTAGTGATACCGCATTGAGGCTTACTATACGTACATATTTAATCTTATACTAAAACCATTAGTACTAATCTCAATCTTGAACCCCAGCATCTTTCGTCGGACCCATCTGCGCAATCAGCTCGTCTAACTTATCCTGTATATGACCTGTCTCATCAACCTCTCCCCAAGCTATCACACTCGCCGCCTTGGCCTGAGTCAGCCATGCTACCGCTAGAGCTAGATTCCCAGCACATTCGTATATCTTCGCAATGTCCTCCATGGTATACACCGCGCAGTCGTCATGGAACCACGGGTCCGGGTCTGGAGTTTCGAGGTGCTGCTGCCCAACTATATCGAAACAAACGCTCAGAGCTGCTGGCCAGTCTTCTTGGTCGATGTATACATGCTCAACGTGCCTTAACAGCTTGCGTTCCTGCAAAGAATTAGGTCCTAACAGGCTGCGAAGAGCACGCACTCCCTCGTTGGCTATCCGCAGAGCTTCATCATAATCCTCACTCCGGCGCAGAAGGGCACAGAGCCTTGATGTCGCGAGCTGGGTCAGTTCGTGGGCAGGACCAAGTGTCGCGCGTAAGCGATCAACCACTGATGTGAGCGCACGCAAAGAGACGTTTTTGTCGCCTTTGTCTTTCCTTAGCGTGGCTATGACCAGAGAGATGGGGTGCTGAGGATGCAATTGAGTGCGCGCGAGCTCATTGATATATGTAAGAACAGCATCTCGTACAAAAGGGCATGTCGTGGTGTTGACAGGAGACAGGGTACTCAGCAGCTCGATGATAATGGTCGCGGTACCCTCGTGGAATATGGCAGGAGAACCGGCTGTTGAGTTTTTCAAGAGTCGAAAACCTCGAGTCTGGCTCTGACTTGAACCGCGCGCATCACCCTTTGCGATTTTCATGAGGTAGATCGCGAGGTCGGTGTCCTGCCAGAACTGAACCTTTTTTACTGGTGCCGACGGATCAAAGTTCCCTGTTGTATAGAAAGTCCGTATGCTAAAAAGAACAGACTCGAGGTTGGAGCTTGGACGCGGGCTGCGAGTTGGTAACTTTGGGCTTACAGCACTGGAGGTTCCGAGATAACGGCGCATCTGCTCCGCCCTTTCTTCTGATAGTCTCTTGTCCTCCGATAGTTGTGAGTTCATTGTTGTGCCCGAGAGACTTGTTGATGATCTGCTGACAATTTCCCAACTGCCTTCCCTGGTGCGTTCCATTTGCTCCGGCTTTACGGCGCGACCCTTGAGAGATGATGTTTCTAGTGAAATAGTATGGGCTTCTTGTATCGATATTGTGAACGTCTGGAAGTCTCTCCGCAAAGAATCCATTTGCGTCTCAAGGCTAGAGAAGCCCTGTACTGAAGTCGTATTGGTAGCTGTTATGAGCTCGTTGGTGGCTAATTGGACTTCAAGTCCAACAACGCCTAGTTCCCGAACCATCTCAATGTTGAGCCTATTTAGCCTCTCTAATTTTTGCGAAAGTTCCTTTTCGACCTTGAGCGAGATAATGGAGTTCCAGAGTTGACTCATTGCCTTTCTCTTCCCCTGTCTATCGGAGAATAACGGAGTTATCATGTTGTGTATTTCTTGCAAAACTGGGTGCAGAGAATCTGCGATGCTGACGAGACGTTTTTCTTGGACTGGATCCAGATTGCCAAAGGCATGTGAGCCTCCCCTACAACTGTAACAGAGCCTGGATATGGAGTCATCCACTTCTCGCAGGAGCTGTGCCAGCTGACCGGGGACTTCCTGCAGGTCTTGTAATAGCTTTATGGTGGCGAGCAGTGCTTTTCCAGCCGCCGAAACAAGTTGAAGTCCTGCTGCGACACCGCCGACTATGGAGAGAGGGTCGGCCATGGTTAGGAACAGGGAGGGCTGTCCGTAAATAAAGTTCTCGGTGTTTTTAATTCTTCCTAGTCGATGATTGAAAAGAGAGCGGATGAGTTCGTCCGTTGTCTAAAGATATTGGGCGGGGAATGATCAACGTTGATCACTGGAGGGGTAAGGATTTCTTAAATAACGGTGGGGAGGCCAACCAACTGTTGTAAGCGTGGAATTATGCCGGGCGCAGACGCTCTAGTCAGGCTGGAGCTTATCTGACACGCATACGTGGTTCCATAGCCATTGCGCATCAGCGCATAGCCACCCACAGCCACCTTCTCTGGATTGGCGGGCATTGGAGGCTATACAGACTTTTGGAAAAAGTCCGAGCCATCCACGATGATGGCCCATATATCTTCCAACCATTATTACCGACTTTTATTCGCTATTAGTAACGAGCCTTCGGCCAGAAACATGTGTGAATGGTTGCATGCTAGACTCAGGCACTGTTCTCGTTCACAAAGTCGAGTCAAGGTGCGTGATGCAAACCTCGACTGTCAGATCCATCAAGTCAAAATAATATTATCAAATACAACATGTTGAATATCTACATAATCGTCCAAGAGTCGACAACTTCAAAACGTGCATAGCTTTTCTGCGTCCTGCACCAATACAGACCATACGGTACATACTCCACTATCAGCAGCAAAGCTCAAACAAAATTGAATCCCCATCTAACTTCCCATGCAAGCCTCAAATGGGTGTGGCTGGCTAGTAAATAATGACTTTGCTAACTGGCAGCTTGTCCTCCGGGATGCGATATCGACCCCGATTCGTAACAAGATTTAAATCATCCGGGTAGAAGGCCTTTGGATTCTCAATAAAGAAGATTCCCAACCTCTCAAAAATTATCTTTCCCGGATAGAGCTTCCTAAGAAGCAGTCCTTCCTCAGAAGTAAGACGAAGCGCCCACATTTCCTGAGGATTGCTCGAGGTCTGCTGGTCGAAAAGCCCCGTCGCTGCAATGAGCGACCAGTTCGAATTGGGATCTCCACGACCTTTAACCAAAGGCCGTCTCTCGCTGGATTCCAGACGGAATGTGTGCTTGTGCAAGGCATCCCGCGGATAAAGCTTACAACGCACGCCATGATCAGGGTGATCTTGGGTTTTGTATTGCGAAATCCGCAGTTCGCGCAAGTAGCCGTAGACCTGGAGCTCGTACGGATCCGGGAAGTGTTTGAGCTCGACAATATTGTACTCCCATCCCTCAGGGTTCTGACACCAACTATTGCGTTTCAGATTGCCTGGTTTGCAACATGGTGTTCCGTACCGTGCGAATCCGGCAAGTTCATCTGTTTTCGCGCCAGCTCCTTGGGTAATAGGTCCGATGAGTGCCATCCATGACCACGAAGGCGCTTTTCTGATAGTCTTTTTCTCGTACTCAGGAACTGTGAGTGCTGGTAAGTGGGCGTCGACGATACGCCGACTTCTCCACAGTAATCCGCATATCATATCACACTCCCACAGACCCGCCATGTATCTGTCTGATCCACGTCCAAATCTGCTAACAAGGGCTTGCTTGAACAGGCGAACGACACCAGAGAGAGCGGCGTGGTTGTCGGAGGGGTCATAAAAGCTCTTTGTAGAGTATTCCATTGTGACAGAATACCACCGTCGAAGGACCGGATCTGTTGTGTCAGCAAGTCCCAACCCTCGCTGTCCCCGTCCAAATGAAGGGCTAGTATAAGTTGCTGGACGAGAATCAAGTTGAATGCGGTTCCGTGGTTTATGGTCTTCTTGAACTGGGGGTAGATTGGAAGCATTAAGAGCTGGGAATAGTTCGTTATACCAGACATCCGCTTCTCCAACAAAGTTACAAGAGCCGTCCTCGAACTCTTCACGCTCACGGCAACGAAAGATAAGTTGCTCTCTTCCGTAGATGATCATTCGTCTAGCCATCAGTGATTCCTGGTAGCACCATGCACGTTCGGTTGTAGGACCAATACTGCGGTCCCGTGGAAGGCTGAGCCAGCACTTGGCTTCTTCGTTGCCATCAGCGCATTGGTATGGAACTTGGCATGGTACTTCGACTGGCGAGGATCCAATGTCGAGAAACCCATCTCGTGCGTCACTGCTTACTCCAGCCACGATGGTGAGATCCGCGTTGTTGTATATCTCTGGAACAAGCAAGGCCTGATCTGCCCAGTCCTTATTGTCGTCTTGCCTGATGCAAAGCGCATCAATCCAGATATACCGATACTCAAGCTCGCGCGCGACCTGGATCGCCTGACGATGTGTCTTGGCGAGCTTGGATAACGCAACTCCCTTTTTGAAAGCGGCCTCAGTATCCGTCGTGAACTTGAACATTCGCGATGTGGCACCGCCCCAAGAATATGACAGAGCAACATAGATACCTCGTTTTCCCTGGGTTTCGACAAGCTTCGGCTTCGTTCCTCCGATATCAACTACTCTTGAGGGCAGGTCCCTTCGCTCATTGCCACAGCATCGACGGTCAAAGTCGTTGCACCTATTGAGCCATGCTTTGGTTAAGCTGATCGTCTCGGCACGCTTTCGGGATTCCGAAGACTTGTCGAGAGTTCTGCCGCGTATTTCTTTTGCGCCGGGCGATTCTGCTACAGATTAAAACCTGCGAACGAGTAAATTGGCTCAATTATAACTGACCTGGTGTCGTAGAAACATTCAAGTGCGCAATGAAGCTCCCTGCAAGGTCCTCATCCACATTCGGACCTTTAATAAACACTTCTATAAACGCATCGTTGAACCAGATAACCCTACTTGATGTTGAGTGGATATCTGGTGGATGAGTTTGCTTTTGTGATATAAGGACTAACTTGGCCCCGAGCAACTTGGGATCGGATTTCCAATTCTTCAGAAAGTGTTGCAGGTGCTTTTTCGGACAAAGATCTTGGATACTTGCCCATAGTAGTTTGCAAAGCGGACAAGGTTGGAGAATACTCTCAGCACAGTCTTTGAGGGATGCAAGGTCGCGGTGATGCTGAGACTCGAAGGTTTGTCTGACCTCAAGGTCATTGCAGTAAGTGCATTGACGTGGAAGCATAATGGTGGTAGACCGACCTCCTATGCGCATGTAACCTAGTATCAAAATGTCAGCTTGCAGAGAAGAAAAAAAACTTGGGCAGTGGTGACTTCTGCGAAGAATTGGTTCAGAGCGTTAAGCGCCAGCCTAATATTGTAAATAACGCATCTTCGTCTCATAAATCTATAATTAGAATCGAGCTGTGCCCAGTTGCGCCACGAGCCTTCCTCAGTGGCTACAGGTTGAAACAAGCCCTGCAGTTGGTCAGCCATGAGAGGTTTTCTGGGTGCTGTAACCACTAACAGCTCATCAGCCGCACGTGTAAGCCTCCAATAATGGTAAGCAATGCGGTGAAAGTACTTAATACTTGTATATAGGATGCATAGGGTAAAGTCCTACTAATGAGTGCAGTGTATATTATAAGTACTATTTATTAGGTGTAATAATTTAATTTAATGATAGTAAAAGATATAGGTTAAAAACATAATAATTACTCAGGTAAATTAAATTAATTATATAAAATAAATAGTTTAATACTGCCTGAAATATATATATATTATCTTTAAAAGGATACCCTCGTATAAATCCTAGTATCTATATGCACTAGCATCCACTATATACTCTTGTATCGCTTAGTTAAAACCCTCAGGCCAGAACTCCTCAAGCCACTCATAAGGATCCTCAGGCTCATAAGCATTTGTAACTTTGCCCTTAAACTTTGTGATGTTATCCCTCGTCTCATTATACAAAGCGTACTTCTCATCGGGTCCGTTTCCGATATAGTATGGAACAGTCTGCACGTTGTTGCCGATTTCCTTGTCAACAATGCTGGTGACGTTGTCGATCTGAGCATTCTTGAGACGGAACTCATCACCGTAGTTGGGGTTGATCTAGAACTATTAGAAAAGAAAAGATTGAGGTTGGTGATGGAGGGGGCTCTTACGATGCCCATTCTGAGACCGTCAACGGCAATCACGTTCTGGATTGTGGCGTTTCGCTTGGCTTGGTTGAGGCAGTTGCCGCAGGACTGGTAGAATGTTCCAAACCCTTCGGCGTAGAAGCCGGTGATGTTGTACTTGCCACCAAGCGAGTTATCTTGGAAGATCTGCAAATGGTCAGAAGGGGAGTCCTCTTGCTATGTCTCTTGCGTACCTTGTCCGTTGCGCTTCGGGCTCCACCGCCAATGACCCTCAACTGGGTGTTCAGGCCCTTCGATGTGAGAGCATCTTCACAAACGTCCTCCCACCAAACTGCAAAAGTTAGTATAGGTCAACCAAAGGTCAATAAAGCTGCTCACCATTCTCAACCCAGGCATCACCCAAAGCATGAATACCCTCGGCCTGGTTCTTTCCAATGATGACATTTCGAATAGTCGAACCAGGTAACAAGTTGAACACAGCATCAGCATCAGTACCTTCAGCCTGTTCGTTACAGCTTCCTTCAGGTCGTTCATAGCGTTTCATCTTGCCATCGAAGACCTCACCCGGCATGATGTACTTGGCATTCTTGAGAACGACTGTCTCCTTGGCAACGGGGAACTTGGTAATGGGAAAGGGGAAGCGAGGCGGTGGCCTTTGGCTGAGATCTCCTTGAGTGGCGTCGGTGTCGCCTTGCTTGCCATCACCTGTCTTGGATTGACGTGTGTCAATGACGGCGGCTTGGGCGACGGGGAGGAGAGATAGGAGTAGTGAAGCCTTCATGATGGATTGGAGATGCGATTTGAGTCCGAGTAAGGGTCAGGCAAGGAAAACGTATTGGTGAAGTAAGCAGGTAGAGATTAGGATGTAATTACTGCTTATATATGTTTTTGGTTGTCATGGATAATAAGAACTCCATGATATAACATACCAACCTCTTTACCATCAAAATAATAGCCTGAGTGCCTCCCATACCATTTCACCGCTTTGCATGGAACCGAGGGCATTAGCCCGGTCCTTCGCTCAGTTCACTGCGTGCCAAGGCTCTAAGTTAACATGTCATGTCACTCGACACCAAGGACATGTTTCCATGAATCATCGTGCAGCAAACATATGATCTTCTTCTTGGCATCTTTTCCAGATGCTGGGAAATCCGGGGTTGTTAATTTAGGCTTCTTTGATAGCTTCGTTTGTATGTTAAATTCATGGTCCATCTGTGGGGGAAAGGAAGACGCGGGGTAAGCTTAATCGAAACCCCAGGGGAATGCCATTCGTGGTTCTGTATTCTTCCGGCCGGGGCTAGCTGTTCCACCTGTCACGGATCGTACTAAGAAGGTAAACGTGAATAACCATAATTCTCGCTCCCGCTGCTTATTCCATGTTAGTCTGGGATGTTTCTTAGCCAGACTGGGTTTATTTAATTAAGCATTTTGTGGGGGATCTCGTGGCGCTCAACGTCTGTTGAAATCTTGCATATGCGGGGCTGGGATGACCCCCAAAGTTAGATGATCTTCTCTACTCACTAGATGCACAGAGTTGAAATATTACATGTCTGGAGAATAATAGCTAACAAACAACCAGATTCAATTCGAAGAAACAACTCAGGATCATCTGTGGTGAGCGAGACGCGTCCGCTTTCTTCCTCAATAGCATCTACGAGGGAGCTTCTTTACCAACCTCAAGATGGTAGCTTTTTTATTTGCAATCTGAGGTTGGTCACTTTTTCTCAACGTCAAGTATCCAAATATTGCCAGGTTCCTAACTCCCGCCCTCGACAAGTCATGCTTTTCATTAGAGTCTTGACTTTCACTAAGCTTTACCCTGCTGATAGACCAACTGATTCCACGTGGTCCGCTGCATCGAGTAGATCTACTGATTGACAGGAGAGGATGTCAACCGATTGGACTGGATCTCTTTCGCTCTAACAGCCTAGTATTGTTCTGACATATGTATAAGACTGCACCTGACTTGGCTAGTCTATTCTTCGCCCCATATCTCAATATCTAGCTAAGTCATAATATTAGTTCCTAATTTTGAGGCTCAGGGCGCAAGCTGATGAGCGCAGAGGCTAAGGGGACACAGTGGGCAAGCTGGGAGTATAGTATAGGAGCTTCAACCCTATACATACGTAGGTCTTCCTCAAGTGGTCATCAATGACCTGGATATGGTTGAAGCATTGATATATTCATACTGTATAACCAATTCAGACTTAAACAAGTCGAAAGTCTGACAGCTGGGTACCTTGAGTATATCTGCCACGAGACCATTCAATTGATGAGTCTGATAGATCTTTTTAATTTCATGTCCGTGTGAGTTCCTATCAGTATAATAGCTACCTCACATCAACTATAGGGCTGTGAGGCTGTGTTCTCTGTCATTCGGGGGATGGATGCAGCGGTAAAGTCCTTTTTGAGCGTGATGCAGTGCTTGCCTGTCAGCAATCAAGGCGAAACAACCCCCAAATACGCATGGGGTCAGTAAATTGGCAGATGAGTATGCACACAAAGGATCCTTGCTACTCTTTGGCATGATTCGAGGAACATCTCAGACATTTGGGGGAGTTGTCTGTCGCCCGCCTTTTCCGTGCAGATGGAAAAGCCCTGCACGATATTATGACCGATGGGACCTCGCGCCCCCACAATTTACATTCGAAACTTTGGGGTATATACGAATCTCACCTTGTGAACGGGCTTCGGAGATGGAGTTTATGCATAATCACATTGTAACGCTGAGCTGTGGGAAACTCACCGATGTCACTTCCAAGTGTTTGGCGAACAGCTGAGACGCAGTGAACGGATCGCTGGGTGAGTTATTCGACATCTCAGGACATTCTTGAGCAGATCTTTGAAGTGGAAAAGAGATATTACTTGACCGCCAAGATATTCCTTTCATCGTTGCCCCAGATCAAACAGGTCACTGCCGGTAATGACAGTGGACGAGAGATCGTCACAATCCGGGGTATTTCCAGATCATCCACCAACCACGGCCATTTAGTCCAGCCATTTCCACCAATAACAGCCACCCATAACATCGATCTTTTCCGAACGCAACATCATCCAAACTTGAATGTTTCACATACTTTCAGAATGCAAGGTTCTATTCTCACACGATACATTGTTACTCCAATAGACGCTGTGAGGCTCGTGATGGTATCTCCAGAAAGGGAAATTGAAGCTATAGACTCCGGGGTCCGAATGCTGAATTGGGGATTGGTGTCTTGCGTGCTGCCAGTAGCAATAGTAGTATTGGAAGTTTAATGAGAAGGATGAAATTCTATAAAGACCCCGTGAAACTTCGCGATAATAATATCCAAATTATTGAAACCACCGAGCTTTGGCTTTCTTCAACTGATCACCTCTGACTTACACAATCACCAGCATCATGAAATTCACTTCAGCCCTCACCACTCTCTTCGCCACCTTGGCAGTCGCTTCTCCGCTCGAGACCCGCGATGCCCTCCTCAAGCGCCAAGCTGCGGAGCCTTGCACCGTCGGATACTGCACCCAGAACGGCGGTACCACTGGCGGTGCCAAGGGCTCGACTGTCACTGTCACTACAGTCGCTGCTCTCATCGAAGCTGCCAAGCGCACCGAACCTCTCACCATTATCGTCTCTGGCAAGTTGACGGGCAGCGACAAGGTTCGACCTGCATCTGACAAGACTATCATTGGTGCTGCTGGAAGCTGTAAGTCCACCCTCCGGCTATTGAGGTAGTCTAGCTAATGATGTGTAGCTATCACTGGTGTTGGCTTCTATGTTCGTCAGCAGAAGAACGTTATTCTCCGCAACCTCAAGATCGCCAAGGTTGATGCTTCCAACGGCGATGCTATTGGTATCGATGAGTCTACTAACGTTTGGGTTGACCACTGCGACCTCTCGGGCGATCTGAGCCTTGGAAAGGATGACCTTGATGGTCTTCTTGACATTTCCCATGGTGCTGATTGGATCACTGTCTCCAACACCTACTTCCACGATCACGTAAGTTGACCTCATCTCCAAGCCAAATATTGTTCTTACTGACCCTCTTTAGTGGAAGGGCTCCCTGATCGGCCACTCCGACAGCAACGCCTCGGAGGACAAGGGCAAGCTCCACATCACTTACGCCAACAACTACTGGAAGAACGTCAGCAGCCGCCAGCCCCTCATCCGCTTCGCTACCGTTCATATCGTCAACAACTACTGGGATGGCATTCTCCTCTCCGGTGTCAACACCCGCATGGGCGCTCAAGTTCTCGTCCAGAGCTCTGCTTTCGCCAACTCCGTCGAGCGCGCTATCTTCTTTGCTGATTCCAAGGAGACTGGCTATGCTGTTGTTGAAGATGTTGATCTCGGTGGTTCGGTCAACTCTGCGCCTAAGGGTACACTTACCTCTGCTTCGCTTCCTTACAAGGTTACACTTTTGGGATCTGGAAAGGTTGCTTCCACTATTCCTGGTACTGCTGGTCAGAAGCTGTAAGAAGAGATGTACGGGAGCGTTGGTAGCTTAGGGGGATGCGAGTAGACTAGCAAGATACCGGGGCTGGAAAGTCGAGAGACTTCGTATGGAGAACGAATTGAACTATCTGATGGATATCTCTTCACGACTGCTTTGAAATCTACAGCCATTGATGCATTTGTCTCCAGAGCCCAAACCTAAGCTCTAGAACTGTAGGAAATTATGCCCATGATAGTGATGGAAGATGTAAGATTAATGGCCATATATGTAAAAGCTTTTTGTCAGGTCGAAGAAGAATAAATATCACAGCAGGATCCCTTTACATCTCAGGCTCAGAAGATCGGGGATTGAAATTGGTTGACCTGCTGATTCCCCGCAATGAGATCCGAGTGTCCGAGCATGACGATCGGCAACAGAACGCAGCTTAACCAACCAGCTTAGGACCAATATCATACAAAGAAACATCATCCAGACCAACAGAGAAAGTAACCTTCTTTCCAGCAGAGCATCGAAGCCTCATCGTAATCGTGACATCCTCGTCAAAAGGCGTGAAATCGACGTGGAGCGGTTGGTATGTACCTAGAGCCGTGAAGTCGAGGCGCCACTGAGACAAGATCGTGCTCTCCTGCAAAGCTTGGATGACGCAGATAGTGCTTTCATCCTTGACGGGCGCGGGAGTGTTGAAAACAGTCGCGTAGGTTGTAAGACGGTAGAGGCGCTTGGTGTCGAGACCGTTGACGGTTTGGTTCAGTTGATTGCCGCCGACGGCTTCGGAGTCATCGACATCGTATTGGCTGCTTCTTGTTGGTGATGCCCTAGAACGGATCAGGGGGAGACTTACACATATTTGTTGCCAGAACGAGCTCGTTCAGGGTTGTTCTTGATATCGCTAGTTCGAAGACTCCAGTCGGTGTTGGGGCTATCCTCAAAGTCAGGGTTTTGGATGTAGTTGGTAGGCTCGGGGGCCTCGGAGGTAGTAGTCGCAGCGACGCTGGTAGCCGCAGAAGTAACAGTGGTGAACCCAGTAGTCGCAGTAGCGGTATCTGATTCCGTAAAGGTAGTCACGAAAGTAACCGTTGTCTCAATTGCCGATGTCTCAGTAGCAGTCGCGGAATCAGTGCTCAAAGTCTCAACGCCCGTAGTCGCAGTCGTGGACGGCAGAGCAGTCGTAGTCGATCGATCGGGACGGCATAGTGGACGAGCGCTAGCAGGGAGCAGCGCAGCGCCGAGAACGGCAGCGATAGAAATCCAACGCATCCTGAATGTTAACGAGAGTAATGGTAGCGTTATGGTATAAACGAGTGAATGAACGGCAAACGTTGAGGAGAGGAAGAAGGTTCTCCGCGAA